AGCATTTAAATCAGATTTTGTTAGCTCCATCAGCAAATCAAGTTTGCAATATGCAATATCCGACTGACAGATACTTGTCAAGGACTGTCTTAGCTATATAGTCATTTAGACTATATTTATATACATAGTATATTTCTACTATGTGACTGAAATAGACAAAAACTCATATCTCAATATTCTATTCAAATTAGGAATATTCATGTATAGAGAGAGGTATTATATAGTTGGATCTCTTCTACAGTTCTATATACGATTAGACTTACAGAGCATGACCCTCTTCATTGCTCAATAATCAAGCATCAGCCCAGCTAATACGCTCCTCTTTCCTCCGCTTGAGCCTGCATAAAAAAGAGTAGAAATTGAAATGATAAATGTTTTGGTTTTTGTGATTTTGTTTATTGTTCAAATTTCGCCTAAAAAATTTTCAAATTTTACCGCATGTATAAAACGAATCTTTTATAGGCAGATCCTAGATACGAGATGCTGAGACGTAGTCGTCGTCGTCGTTGTTGTTGTTGTTGTTTTGTGAGCTGTTTAGATAAAAATTTGTGGTGTAGCACACACATGTGCCATTGGGGCAACTTAATTAGCATTTTTAATGGAGCTGCCGACTCGTAACGCTCGACAATTAAAGCGAAGGAAAAATCGAACAAAAAAATGAAGAAATGAAAAACTGAAAATCAATTTCGATGGAAGTGCGCGTGAGATTCTTGCCCAATGGATGTCGATTTCACACATATACATATATAACAAAATATATATATACATATATATTTTTGTACTTATTTGGGGTCGCATATTATCAGCTGCCGGGGCGCTACTAATAGGGCAGCAAAAAGCACTTGAAGAACTCGCTATTAGCTATTCGCTTTTCGCTATCAACGTAATCTCCAGTGGAACCATCGCAGCTGCCAACCACGGGAACATTTGGCAGTGTAAAGTAAGTTGCTGCTTGTTTTTCTGGTATATCGAGTGAATTCCTTTCAATATTGGTATATTCTAAGCACGATGATTCAGTTATACTTTCGGCTGACTTGTTATTGCTCATCTCTGCTCACCTTTGCTTGGGGCACTTTGTTAGCTGTTGTTCTTCTCATTAATATTTATTTGGAGCAACATAAAAAGAGCAAAGCGCTTAAAGTCTGTTTAAGTGTTCATTGCTTAGTGTAAACAACATTATATAGCTGTGAGGTACAGTGAAGCTTACGTATGTGAGATGTCTTCTGTAAGGGAAGAGCAATCTATCGAGTCTAGCCGTGACTGGCGAAGGAACTAAATGCAAAGCACAAGACTTTAAAAGACTTTATAGTCCCTAAGACTTCAGTTTATTGCCTACTGCAGGGATCCTCTTCTATCAATATCTAAAACTTAGTTCCCTTAAGAGTAGCTCCCATCTCCATTACTGACAAAGCCAAAGTTTGTGGCAAGTGGAAGATCGTACAAAATGAGAATAGAGTATGCAGAACTCTTAGCTTATCTCTTCCACTCTCGCACATTCCTACACACGCTTGCATGCAAGACATCCTGCCCTTGGTGCCCCAGGACTCGCATCGGCAGCTCCAGCTTCATGTGTCGGCAGCTAATTGGAATTTGAACACACGAATTAACACAAATATATTACGGCATGCATAAATCAGCTCGATGAGCAGGTTTTTGGGTCCATTGTCGTCGTGTCAGGCGCTTCCTCTTACTTCAGTTTTCAGCCTTGTTAGCATCTTCTTAACGCTTCGTTAGATCTTCGGTCTTGCAAGAAGCGCAAATTGCGATTCAAATGAATTCCGCCCACATTTTCATAGTGTCATTTCTTCATCTGTATATATATATCTACTTTTTTTCATAATCATTAAATTTACTTGGTATTTTTTGTGCAGCTTTCGCTTCTTTACTGTGCCTGGGCACGCCCACTAGCCCCCGTGGCAGAGCCATTAGCAGCAATTTTCAATTTCCTTTCTGATGAAGCACATGGCAAGAGAGCAAATTACATGGCACACAGCACACAAGATGAGAAATTCACCTTCCCATTCCCCTTACCCTTTCCCTTCCTTTTCCCCTTGCCATTTCCATTCGCATTTCTTCTGCCATTCGATTCAGAATTTTTTCATCTTCGGTGTCCTTAGTTGTGGCTCACGTCCGCAATTGTCCTGAAGAAGACGAATTTCATACAATTTCCAGGCAGCAGCGCAAATGAACGGCCATTATGTCGATCTCAAGTGAAAGCGGGCACTGAAATGAATTTGTAACGAGTCTTGCGACGCAAGTCGAAAGTCGAACGTCGAAAGTCGCAAGTCGACGACTAACTCAGTGCAACGCACTGACTTGTCCTTATCCGGGCCCATTCTGCGACCCCAAAGGACATGCTTCAATTGAATAAGGAGAAAATTACACTTAAACGTTGCGGCGTGTCGCCAACTACCAGCTGAGAGACGGTGAGAGAGAGAGAGAGAAAGAAAGAGACGGAGAGGTGATGTGAGTGAGTCAGGGGTTCTCAGCTATTATTTGCTGCTTCTGGTCAGCATTTGTTGGCTAACTTTGATTGAATTGCATTCATCACAGCTTACCAAGAGTTCTTGGCCAAGATAATAACCCGAGCTAACTCAATCTATTCAAGGAATCCTGCTAATGTTAGCCTTTAAGCATTTGCATGCATATAAGGAATTAGTTACCCTAAGAGATGATGATGTTTGGACTGTGTTTAAGTTTTTTTTTTTTTATATACATAATGCAGGTCGCTTTTGCTCATTGACTTATAAATATTGTCGAAGTTAAAACAATATAGGAAAGTCAAAATGTATGTTATGGGTACTAAGAGCCGTTGCACACTCCATCACGATCAGGACGATGATGACGTAGATCTAGCTCTGTCCTTCTGCTTGACTGTTCGTCTGTCTGACTGTATGCCATTTATCAATACGTTTGTAGTAAAAGTAGTTACAGATACAAAATCTCTTCTACATTGCTGTAGCAGCTACATCCTTTGCAGCGTACTTCAGCATTCATCTTGAGTTGAGTAGCTCCAATGCGGCGTTCACTTTGCTGATGCACTGTCTGCCTAATTGCCAGTCACTCAGCCAACAAATTCACTTTGAAAGCCCATTTAGCAGTTGGCTACAACAACTCAATGAACTTCGCCACCCACTTTAATGTCAGGAGCAACATTTCCTCTGCTTTCACCTCCTCCTCCTCCTCATTCTGCTGCGGCTCTAGCATGTCCGTCTCCTTCCGCCGGCAATGCGAGTTGTTTATAGCGCCAAACAGAAATTCCAGCCAGCGACAAATAAGCCCCAAATGAAGTTTATTTGCTTAAGCCGTTGACAGACAAACAGTTGCCTTCACTGACACACGCACGCACACCCGCACACACACACACACACACACACACACACACACACACACACACACACACATATACACATCGAGCACTCATACGCAGTGTGCGCCATGTGCATTAACATATCATTAGAGTCGATGCTGCTCGCATCCGTATTTGCATGCATGCGCCTCTGCTCGTCTGTTCGTCTGTTTGTCTGTTTATCTCAGTTTTTGTTTACAATAAAGCGTAATCATGTGTTACTAATACCAATAATAATGCCAATGGGCAATCTAACCCTAATGCGCACATGAACTCTCCCTTTCACAGTGGCATGCCTATGGAACTGCTAGCTGGTACGGGGACTGCTGATGGGACTGGCGCTGGCGTCGCCATCCACTTCAATGTCAGTTCGTGCATGCATAATGAGCTCCAAGAATCTCCACCCATCCCAAAGTAGCGACTCGCACTCGCCTCAAGTGCACTTGTCGAGGTCGAGGAGGTCAGCAGGAGGAGAAGAGCAGCGTGGCTACCAGGGTTAACAGGAAGCAACTATCTTTCGGGAAATTCTGTTTATTAATTGAGATTGGTTCTATATTGTTATGAGAGTTCAAGATATATATCATATTCTATTTTAATGTGATTTCAACGTGAAGAATTTGTGATAGAACTTAGTCAGTTATTCCATGTTGTAGTAAGAGAAATCTCTATATATATATTTGATATCTGAAGGAAGAGATTAAAGATATTTTACATAGATCACATGTGTAAGAGAGACAACATTGAGATCTAATATACCTTATATAGATATTTATAGATTTCTTGGATTGTGAAGTTAAGTTAAGTTTATATAGTTGACAGATTCTAATCGCATTGAGTGAACAGAGGAACTGATTTATAGATTTTATATACGAACTAAACATATATATAAATATACATATACAGAGATACATAGAACACTGCATACTTGATGATTTGGTAAGCCCGCACTTAAGTTCATATTTTCTACATATTCCGATCAAGATGTTGAAATCAATTTCAGACAATGATGAATATGATCTCTAAAGAGTTCAAAGATTTTATATTTTTTTTACTTTTGGACCAAAAAGCTTTGCATTCATTTTGTTCTTTTTCTCTATTTTTTGCTTAATTTCTTAAGAACACTTGGACTGGCACTCTGGCGCCTTAAGTAGACTTTGTCTATACATACATACACAYATATATGTACATATGTTTGTGTATATATTTATGTATGTATTCTGATTCATTAAATACTTAAGTATACGACTCAAGTGCCAAAGCTTAAGTGTTTTGGAGGCTTTAATATTGCAAAAATACGAGTAAGACAATGAAGCATATGTTCATGAAATCTTTTTTATATATAATACATATATGT